TGGTTACATCGCTGGACTCCCATGTAGTCAACTGCGGTTTGAGTCCCGAACCTGGCGACTTGAAACTCATGCCAGGTGCGTGTGCATGCCTGCCCAAAATCCCTAGAGGAGAATGGAGGAGAAGGAATTGTGGCATGGTCATCCCCCCCGGGGGCTGACTTGCTTTCTGTCTCTCTGGCGAGCAGACACTTCCTTTTAGAGAGCCAAAACCTCTCTAAAAGTATTCTTTTTAATCTAAATTTAATTTGACCAGAGAGGGACAGAGTGAGACAGAGATATGCAGAGAGAAAGTGAGAAAGCAAGTTGCCAGGTCTGGGACATAAACCACGGTTGGCCACGTGGGAGTCCAGCGCCCTTAACCACTGTCCCAACTGCAGGCTCCACCCCCATGTCCGTCTTGAGAGGGTATAGTTTCAGCTCTTACATGCAGGTCCATGATTGATTCGAGTTCATTTTTGTATATGGTGTGAGGCAGGATTCTACTTCATCCTTTTTTTTCTTTCTTGCCAGAGGGGATGTGCACTCGTCAGAGACAAGGAAGAGAGAGGGAGAAAGCAGTCCCCAGCGGGGCATGGTCACACTGCAGTCCTTTCAGTTCTCCATTCTGTCAGGGTTTGGAGCACAACATTCCCACGTGCCTGGTGTTTTTTTTTTTTTTTTTTTTTTGGAGAGATTTTCACTGTAGGGCGCGTGCGCTCGCCAGACAGACAGAGAGAGACATAGAGACAGAAAGCGAGAAATCACCCCCCAGGGGGGATGGTCACGCCGCAATCCCTTCTCCTCCATTCTGCTCTCGGGATCTTGGGCACGCACGCACACGCGCCCGGCGTGAGTGCCTGGTGTTTTTCAAACCTCCAGGGCCTGGACTCAAACTGCAGTCATTTATGTGGGATCCAGCTGGCTCCCCTAACCATGGGCTATGGAGCTGGCCCCAAATTCACCTTCCACATGTGGGTTTCTGGTGGCCCCAGTCCCACTTGTTGAAGACTACTCTTTGCTCACCGATCGTCCTGGCCCCTGCACTTACATTTCCCACGTCAACAAACCCTCCTCCGAAGAGGTCCCGCCGGGGTGCACTCCCACCCACACAAGCTGAGGGCCCGTACCCGATTACACAAGGAGGGTTAGCAGGACACTAATGAACTGAGCTTATCAGGGACACCCCCGGGGATGGGGAGTGCGGCGGGCTTGGCAGTGGTGTGAGCAGCTGGGTTCAAGTGAGATGCTTCTCAGGGAAAATGCAGGGGACCCGAAACTGAGCGGACGGGCTGGAGTTTAAGCCCTGCCTGCTCCTGACCCGCTAAGGAGCCCTGGGCTGTCCGGCCCTCTGAAGCTGCTCCCCACCCACCTCCGCAGGGCTGTCGTGCCCTGTCGCGGTAGCTATCGTGACATCCTGTGTACGGCTGAGATGGAGTGACAGTGGGCCACCCAGAGCTGTGGTGCGGGAGCCGTTTGGTTGAGTGTGAGATTTTTAATGATGACTGATCACGTGTAGAAACGTGGATCCACTGGTGTCACTGTCACCCAGAGCCAGGCGGTACTTGAAGTCTTTGCTGTGACATGTGAAGGGGGGGAGAGGCTGTGACTGAGATTGGATGTGACAGCAAGACAGATCCTGAGTGACAGAATGGGACGGAGTGGAGGGAGGCAGGCTGCGCTGGGCAAATGTGGGTGCCCGACAGGGCTGCTGGGGTGCTCAGAAGTCAGGGCAGGCGTCGCCGGTGCTGTCCCCTCTCTACTGGCTTCCCTCCCTGCCTCCTGAAAGCAGAGAGGAAGCGGGTGGAGAGGTTTTGCTGGAGTGCAGAACCCGCAGCACCTCAGAGCTGGGCTGGCACCGGGTGTCAGGACCTGCACACAGAGGCATGTGCCTGTGCTGGGTGGGCAGAACCCGCTGCTCTCTGCTCTCCACTTCGGTCTTCAGAGTGCCCGTTAAGAGCAGAACCAGCGGCATGGAAACCTAACATTCCTCCCCCTCTCGTCCCCTGGGGGAGGGAGGGAGGAACAAGCCACATCTCATTAAGCTTTTACGAGCTCAGGCAGGCAGAGTGGGCCCACAATGCTGGGCGGGGGCGGGGGTGCTGCGGGAAGGAGTCCCCAGCTCTGTCAGGGGAAGCGTGTCCCAGAACTTGGAGGCCCGCTCTGCAGGAGATGGAATAAGGTGTTAACAGCAGATGTGGGGGATCAGCTGCTTTTATTACAATAAAATCAGAAGGACAACAGGACAGGAGGCTGGCTAGGTGTGGGGACAACAGAGAGACAGTGGCAGAGGCAGGAGTGCAGGGTTCTGAAAACTGCCTGGAAGAGGCAGCGCTAAGGCATGAGAGTCCTAAGGGTGAAAGAGAAAAGGGAAAGCAGCTAAATAACGAGATCTTAAACATGCGTGGAACCCTATTGCCCTGACCCAAGGTGACTTTAGACACAAGGCATGAAAGACGGGCAGGATACTTGCTAGAACAGGGAACGGAGAGCTCGCTCGGAGCTCAGGAAGATGAGAGTTAAAGCCATGAATAAGGCTGCACAAGGACCCGGAGTGCAGGGGTGGGAGAGAATAAATACCCTAGTGACCCACATAGACAACAGACCAGAGACAAGGGGCAAGGGGTCAGGTCACCACAAGGTCACCATGCCTGTGGGGCCAGTCGGATGACACAAACACCGCACCCCACTCCGTGCCCGGGAGGAGAGGAGAGCGGGGAGGGTGTGGGTCTTCGCAGCACAGAGAGTGGCACAGGCTGCTGAAGGTGGGGGCAGTGCTTGCAATGCTGGGGTGACCCCGGACGGGCAGCAGCCGACACAGGAGGTTAAGGCATTGGATCCCATATGGCTGACTTTGTGGTTTGAGTCCTGGACCCTGTGGCTTGAAAATCACACTGGGTATGTGTGCGTGTGTGCCCGAAATCCCGAGAGGAGACTGGAGGAGAAAAAGTTGCAGTGTGGCCATCTCCCTGGGAAGACTTCTCACTTTCTCTCTCTTTCTCTGTCTCTTCAGTGAGCAAACAAGCCCCACAGCAAAACTTAAAAAAAAAAAAAAAAAAGAAATAGAAAAGCATCCGGAGGTATGAGGGGCTTGGGCAGCTCCCACCTCTTTCACTTCTGCAAGAACTTCTTGTTGAGGAGGAAGATGAGAAGGTTGACGTTGACCTTGGCCTTGCTGAAGAGCTTCATGACGGCCACACCCTCATACTGCAGCTGTAGGAGGTCCTAGGAGGGAGCACGGGCCAAGGAGGGGAGTTCAAGGGCTGCGGCCATGGCGCCGTCAGAGGGTCTACAAAACATCAGCGTCTCGGAGCCTGCCACAGCCTCAGGGCATTGGCCACGACGCAGGGCACTGAAACCCACTTCCTGAGTGAGGAACACGGGGCTGATGGAGACGTGCAGCGGCTTAACCAAATGTCAGCGCGGGCAGGGCCGGCATCAAAATCGGTTTTCTCACTCAAAAGGCAAAAACAGCAGTGCAAGAAGATTTGGACTGAAAATCACAGCTTCCTGAACACTGGCATTTGACTTAGGCCAGCCTCCTAACCTTCCAGCTTGGAGCCTGTGATAGGGATAATGCTTCGGAGCTGTGGAGGGGATTAAACAGGGTCGCATGCAAAGCCCTGACGTGCTTCAGATATTAATCCCGCCTCTGACACCGCGCGCCGCTCTGCCTGGCGGGGTCTGTGTCGGGCCTGGAGGAGGGGGCGCTGGGCAGCACAGACCCCCCTCAGCAGGAGCAGACCGACTGGGCAGGAACGGAGCCAGCCGAGGCCTGATGCAGGACCCAAGGCGGGCACTGACAGCCCAGTGGGGGGCAGGGGTGGGGTGAGGCGGGGGGCTCTGGGCGTGTCTTCTCACCTGATAGTGAAGCTGAAATCGCTCCATGTCCACACCCAGGAACCTGGCCTTTACTTCAAACTGTCCTGCCTCATCTCCAGGGGTGATGTCAAAGATGACGTTTCGGAAGCTGTCAGGAATGGCATTCAAACAGGGCCCGCCGCCTGCTCCCGGGCCGCAGCCCCACTCCCATCCAGGGCCAGGCTCCCCTCTGCCACACCCAGGGGCCGCCTCTGTCTTCTCCCATCTCACTTATGCTCGGCGTGGCATCTCTCTTCTGCCCAACACTCCCCAGCTGTTCTCACCTCCGGGAAGCTTTTCCCGCATCCTCCACCTGGGGGATCTGGGCCTCTCTAACCCATGGCCCTGCTCTCCACGCCATCTCTGCCACCACCCTGGTGGCAGCCCCCATCCGTAGATGTGGCCCAGAGCACCACCCCCAGGTGAGGGGACAGGAAGGGTCTGTCGCCCTGCCCTGCAAAGAGGTGCACATACTGCGAGGCGGGAAGGTCTTCAATTTCCACCAGGACGCCCTTTTCCAGGAGCTGGGCGGCAGTGTAATGGAGAGAAGGCTGCTTCTTCCCCTTCCCAGAGTTCCTGGTGAAAAGCAGGCCCCGGAGAACTCACCCGCAGCCCCCACCACAGGCCCTGCTCTCCGTGGCTGGCAGGAAGGAACAGGGGCCCAAGGAAGGGTGCTGTGCTGTGCTAGGGGACCCCCCTCCCAGCTGGGAGAAGGCGGGCAAGGCAGACGCAGGCAGGGGTGAGGTCACGGGGACCAGCTGGGTGCGGGCGGGCAGCACCTACTTGGAGCGGGGGGCCAAGTGGTCCAGGCAGGCCCGGATGTACTGGCTGTAGTAGTCGCCCTGCTCCTCGTAGAAGGTGGTCTTGGAGCACAGGCCCTGGAAGGTGGCCTGGAGCTTCCGCAGCTCGGCCTTCCGCCGCTGCCGGTGCCTGCGCTGGCTGCGGATGTCCTGGGGGGAGGGGACAGGTCGGTCCTTCTGCAGGAGAGCCTCGGGGCCTCATGCAGGCCACAGGGCAATCTGGTGAGGATGTTTGGGAAAAGCAGGAGGGGTAAGAGTTCAAGGCCGGTGTTCCTAGGAGGAGGCCAATCTCAAGGACTGTATCCCAAACCTTAAGGCATGTTTCCAGGGCCTCTCCTCCGCTGAGGAGGAGCTGGTTTCAAGGATCCCTGTTTGGGGCAGGAGCGTTGTAAGAACATGCTTTTGCCAGGATAAATTTTACTTTCCTTCAAAAAGCACCCCTGGCCTTCCTCTGGCTGGTGACGGACAATTTCAGGTGAGTGCTCACGAGAGGGAGGCCTGCCCTTGGAGTGCCAACACCACGGGCCCCCATGGGCGCGCATGTGCACAGCAGGTACTTATGCACACACATGAACACGGAGCTCAGTCCGGGGCTTTACCTTGGCCAGCTGGTCCACTAGCCCCTGGTAGCCGTCGTGGGCACTGACCAACCCTAGGCTCTCGAGGCGGCGCAGGGTCCCCCC